ACTCACCTGCTCCACTATCTTATCATCGTTGACCACGCTGTCGCTGACGTTCTCTCCTGTCTTCACTGTCGATATTGTCTATGTTGTCGTATCCCCCTCACTGTTGTTGACACAATAGCTGTCAGAGAGTGCTTGCCCTTCCCGAAGGAGATCGTAGCATCTGCACACGATCCCACACTCCCGCTCCCAATCGATGAAGTCATCAAGCCCCGGATCCGGCCCCTCCTCGAAAGCCCAGATAATTTCCAGCAACTGCTGGATCTTATCCTCCATCCTATCAGCCATTAAAGGTTCACCCCCTTGGCCCTGTAATGGGTGATTTGATGGAGATGACATCACCCATAATATCTCCTGCATCTGACGCTCCCCATCCTCCAGCTCGGCCAACCATGTATCCGCCCACAGTTGTAGATCTTCGGTCGACGCCATGATATCTCCCGAATTCCCTGTCGTGTATGTTATGTATCGACCGTCGCCCTGCTTTTTCACGCCGATATTCTCCTACTTCCCCGCCAATAGATCATAAAATCTGCCACGTCAGCACGCACGTGTAAGTTGCTTGCTGTGCATGCTCCTTGATGTATGTTGTACTTCTTACTTTCTGCTTCTGGTTCTCGTTGCTAGGGAAGATTGTGTCTGCTATGCATGCTCCTTGATGTATGGTTACTTCATCGAACTTATTTGGTTGATGTTCTCATCACCCGAGTACCGTGGGTGACTGCCATCCGTCTAGTATCCCACCTCTACAACAACCTGGGCTTAAAAAAAATAAATAAATAAAAAATCCCAGTACCTCCTCCTATACCCTGCGCAGGGGACCAGAATTGAGGCCCCTTCCACCACTTTTTTGCTTCTTCCGTTCTTTGTTCATCTAGTTTGGTCTCCTATAGGCAAAGAACATCAATTTTTCCTTCATGCATCCCTGTTTTGAGTCTGTCTCGTTTCCGGCGTAGACCTGTATCACATAGGCCTCATATATTCCACGTCGCAAGCCTAAGCTTGATTTTGGGGGGCATTCACCCCCCCAGATCCGGACAGTGATTGGGTACCGGGCACATCACCTTTGCCCCCAGCTGATCCCTTCGGACGATTTGGACCCTCATCCCGTGTTCTTGGAGGGGGGGTCCCAAGGTTCAGCTAAGGAAAGCAGAAACGGGGTTTCCTGCATGATATCACCCAATGCATGGGGGAGAGAGCCAGCCCACTGGCTAACGGTCCCCCCGATACAACCCCTTCAAGGGGGTCTGATCTTGTCTAATTGTTTATTAAAGGGGTTATTGTGCGTCGAAAGGGTTGGTGACCCTACATGTCTCATTAGGAGTCGGATCTGGAATTATGTGGAGCTGGATGCGAGTTCGGCCCTCGTTGCACTACTGGCCATCCGCCAAGATTTTGATTGCATGTGGACAACTTGGCTGTCCAGATGCATTCGAAATCTTGGCTGATGGCGATAGTGCAACTAGAGCCTTCGAGGGGAAACTGCTCCTGAGGGAGTACTCACACTGCCACTCTTCCGAATTACTGCCAGACCGGGATGAATCTGGCCGCATTTCCGTCCAAGAACAGGTAAGAAAAAGGTCCTAGTGTGAGTATGCCCTGAGTCAACTTTTTAGTTTGAAATAGGCAAAAAAAGAGAAGAGAAAAAAAGAAAAGACAAAGTGCAAGTTTCCTTTTTGTTTTTACTTTTTAAATAACTCTCTCCATTTTTTTATTTTTATTAGAGAAGCTCTGCTCTTTTACTACCACTCTCTCCATTTCACCTCACACTACCTACCTACCACTCCTCGTTTTTTTTTTTTTTTTTTTTTTTTTTTTGAACCACTACTTGTAATCGTAGGCATAAGTTCCTTGCTTTGCGCCCCCCCCCCCAAAAAAAAATAAAAATAAAAAAAATTGTAGGCATACGGGGAACCCCGTAGCAGCCAAGAGGTGAATGATATGAATTTTCAGTGTAAAAACTAAACAAAAAAAGGAATTGTCATTCAATGACACATGTCGGCACAGGACGTAATTGGCCACTGTGGAATCTCGGGGAACTCCCTCGTCGGAATTGCGGTTAGATTCAGTGGGTTTTTTTTTTTTTTTTTTTTTTTTTTGATGCCTACTCGTCGAAACTCCTGATGTGTTAGGACAACCCCCAAGGTGTGCATATGTATTTGTGCCATATTTACAGCGAGACGGAAATAGAAAGGCGCGTGGGCGAGGGAGAGAGAGAGAGAGAGAGAGAGAGAGAGAGAGAGAGAGAGGTGGTTCTTTCGCGAGTGAGAGGTGGGAGACATGGTGAGTTGCTGGTCAGCATAACGCAGGTCGGGGACATGTCGCGACGCCCACGTGGCAATGATTTGGCGAAGCTGGCGGGATCTCGACGGGTGGGAAGTTCTCAGAAGCTCGACGTCCGACATCGTCGATCATTCAGTTGGAGTAGTCAGGGAGCACTCTCACACAGAG